TCTAATGTAACTCTATGGCAGCATCCAAGGGGCTTGAATTTTCAAGCTCTACCCTTAGATTTGACGGTGACGTAGTGTCCCAATGAGTGACAGAACACTGAGCCAATCACGGCGCAACTAGAGAACATTACCAACACCTACGCTCCGTATTTTCCGCTGGCTGCCCCACCACCACAGAAAGCACTGAGCTAGGCTGAAACACCTGCATTTTTGAGCTGCCTTACTCAAGAAAGAAAAAAAAAGACCAAGTTTGTATGCGGCTTTATTAACTCAATGACACATATATCAATCAATCAATCAATTTTATTTTATATAGCCCTTCTTACATCAGCTAATATCTCGAAGTGCTGTACAGAAACCCAGCCTAAAACCCCAAACAGCTAGTAATGCAGGTGTAGAAGCACGGTATATACATATATATATATTTTTTTTTTACATTGTTTGCAAACTGCTCTGCCCCACCTGCCCTGTATGATGGGTGGCCTATGTGAAGCAGCTCACTTGCCAGCAACACAATCTCACACTCAATTCATGCAAATATGTACAAAACGATTTTCAGCAGATTTTGTGTGTTTTTGTGTGTCTTAATTCATGTGAAAATAATCAAGCATTAAGCAAAAGCAAGCATAGAAAACAGTATTGGCATTAATAAATAAAAAAACAACGTAAGGCTACTATTATATTATAATTATTTCAGTGACAACCTGGTTGATTAACAATATTGGGTTGTTAACAATTTTTTTTATTTATATATAAATACATGTGGGACACAAAAAAAAGGCAGTGTAGAACACCATTGCCCATCATGCATAGCTACAATAACTTTCAAAAGATTGTTCCGAAGTTGGGTACCAAAACATTTATTTTCCTATGAATTAAGTCGCACAAAAATGTGTATTTTCTTATTAATTAAGTCGCACAAAATGCAGGAAATCTACTGAAATACTTTTTGTACATATTTGCACGAATTGTGTGTGAGATTGTGTTGCAACCAGCCATTGTCCCAGCAATTTGCACCCCATAGGCAATATCAATTGCGCAAAAATAACTTAAGAAATAGGTTAAATTACCAGAGATTCTCACGTGGCCCATTATATTAGGCTATATCAAAGCTCATCACTAAGCTAAGGATCCTGGGACTAAACACCTCCCTCTGCAACTGGATCCTGGACTTCCTGACGGGCCGCCCCCAGGTGGTAAGGGTAGGTAACAACACATCTGCCACACTGATCCTCAACACGGGGGCCCCTCAGGGGTGTGTGCTCAGTCCCCTCCTGTACTCCCTGTTCACCCATGACTGCATGGCCAGGCACGACTCCAACACCATCATTAAAGTTTGCTGACGACACAACAGTGGTAGGCCTGATCACCGACAACGATGAGACAGCCTATAGGGAGGAGGTCAGAGACCTGGCCGTGTGGTGCCAGGTCAACGTGACCAAGACAAAAGAGATGATTGTGGACTACAGGGGAAAAAAAAGAGGACTGAGCACGCCCCCATTCTCATCGACAGGGCTGTAGTGGAACAGGTTGAGAGCTTCAAGTTCCTTGGTGTCCACATCACCAACGAACTATCATGGTCCAAACACACCAAGACAGTCGTGAAGAGGGCATGACAAAGCCTATTCCCCCTCAGGAGACTGAAAAGATTTGGCATGGGTCCTCAGATCCTCAAAGAATTATACAGTCGTGGTCAAAAGTTTTGAGAATGACACAAGTATTGGTCTTCACAAAGTTTGCTGCTTCAGTGTTATGAGATATTTTTGTCAGATGTTACTATGGTATACTGAAGTATAATTACAAGCATTCCATAAGTGTCAAAGGCTTTTATTGACAATTCCATTAAGTTTATGCAAAGAGTCAATATTTGCAGTGTTGAGCCTTCTTTATCAAGACCTCTGCAATCCGCCCTGGCATGCTGTCAATTAACTTCTGGGCCACATCCTGACTGATGGCAGCCCATTCTTGCATAATCAATGCTTGGAGTTTGTCAGAATTTGTGGGTTTTTGTTTGTCCACCCGCCTCTTGAGGATCGACCACAAGTTCTCAATGGGATTAAGGTCTGGGGATTTTCCTGGCCATGGACCCAAAATGTTGATGTTTTGTTCCCAGAGCAACTTAGTTATCACTTTTGCCTTATGGCAAGGTGCTCAATCATGCTGGAAAAGGCTTTGTTCGTCACCAAACTGTTCTTGGATGGTTGGGAGAAGTTGCTCTCGGAGGATGTGTTGGTACCATTCTTTATTCATGGCTGTGTTCTTAGGCAAAATTGTGAGTGAGCCCACTCCCTTGGCTGAGAAGCAACCCCACACATGAATGGTCTCAGGATGCTTTACTGTTGGCATGACACAGGACTGATGGTAGCGCTCACCTTGTCTTCTCCAGACAAGGTGTTTTCCTGATGCCCCAAACAATCGTAAAGGGGATTCATCAGAGAAAAGGACTTTACCCCAGTCCTCAGCAGTCCAATCCCTGTACCTTTTGCAGAATATCAGTCTGTCCCTGATGTTTTTCCTGGAGAGAAGTGGCTTCTTTGCTGCCCTTGTTGACACCAGGCTTTCCTCCAAAAGTCTTCGCCTCACTGTGCGTGCAGATGCACTCACACCTGCCTGCTGCCATTCCTGAGCAAGCTCTGCACTGGTGGTGCCCCGATCCCGCAGCTGAATCAACTTTAGGAGATGGTCCTGGCGCTTGCTGGACTTTCTTGGGCGCCCTGACGCCTTCTTCACAACAATTGAACCTCTCTCCTTGAAGTTCGTGATGATCCGATAAATGGTTGATTTAGGTGCAATCTTACTAGCAGCAATATCCTTGCCTGTGAAGGCCTTTTTGTGCAAAGCAATGATGACGGCACATGTTTCCTTGCAGGTAACCATGGTTAACAGAGGAAGAACAATGATTTCAAGCACCACCCTCCATTTAAAGCTTCCAGTCTGTTATTCTAACTCAATCAGCATGACAGAGTGATCTCCAGCCTTGTCCTCGTCAACACTCTCACCTGTGTTAACGAGAGAATCACTGACATGATGTCAGCTGGTCCTTTTGTGGCAGGGCTGAAATGCAGTGGAAATGTTTGGAAATGTTTTGGGGGGATTAAGTTCATTTTCATGGCAAAGAGGGATTTTGCAATTAATTGCAATTCATCTGATCACTCTTCATGACATTCTGGAGTATATGCAAATTGCCATCATCAAAACTGAGGCAGCAGACTTTGTGAAAATTAGAATTTGTGTCATTCTCAAAACTTTTGACCACGACTGTACAGCTGCACCATCGAGAGCATCCTGACTGGTTGCATCACCGCCTGGTATGGCAACTGCTCGGCCTCCGACCGCAAGGCACTACAGAGGGTAGTGCGTACGGCCCAGTACATCACTGGGGCCAAGCTTCCTGCCATCCAGGACCTCTATACCAGGCGGTGTCAGAGGAAGGCCCTCAAAATTGTCAAAGACTCCAGCCACCCTAGTCATAGACTGTTCTCTCTGCTACCGCACGGCAAGCGGTACCGGAGTGCCAAGTCTAGGTCCAAAATACTTCTCAACAGCTTCTACCCCCAAGCCATAAGACTCCTGAACAGCTAATCATGGCTACCCAGGCTATTTGCACTGGCCCCCCACCCCCACCCCCCCCACCCCATCTTTTTACATTGCTGCTACTCTGTTAATTATTTATGCATAGTCACTTTAACTCTACCCACATGTACATATTACTTAAACTACCTCAACTAGCCGGTGCCCCGCACATTGACTCTGCACCGGTACCCCCCTGTATATATAGCCTCCCTACTGTTATTTTATTTTACTTCTGCTCTTTTTTATCTAAAAACTTTTTTGTTGTTGTTCTATTTTACTTTTTTATTAAAAAATAAATGCACTGTTGGTTAAGGGCTGTAAGTAAGCATTTTACTGTAATGTCTGCACCTGTTGTATTCGGCGCATGTGGCCAATACAATTTGATTTGATTTGATTTGATTTATCAGCCAGTATGCTAGATGTAGTTTGAAGAGAGCAGAGTTGGAGAGACTTGCACTTTCTCTTGAGCTATTTTTATAGCTTACCTTTTAGGAGTGGGAAGATTTTCAGAAGGAAAAATATCGGTGATAAATGTGTATTCCTAGGCAATGTAGTAGCCGAAACTATAGCCTAATCATATTTAGGAAGTACAATTCCTTGGAATGATAACTGCCACGTGCTTCTCAGCCCATGCACACCTGATATCGCAGGTATGGATACTGAACGTACATCTTAGTCATTTAGCAGACGCTCTTATGCAGAGCGATTTACAGTTAGTGAGTGCATACATTTTCATACTGGCCCCCCGTGGGAAACGAACCCACAACCCTGGCGTTGCAAGCGCCATGCTCTACCAACTGAGCTACAGGGGACTACAAGCAGCAATAATGATGACAGCGACACCTGCAACGTTTTGCATATAGGATATAGCCTGCCTTTTAGTAGGACGATTTGCAGGCAGAGACAAATAAATTGGTAATCCATACTTAGGCTATTGAAAATGAAAAGGCGCAGCCTATGCGCGCGTTGTTCCATTTAAATGATTATTCATTTTTCTTTATTGCACCTCGACTCACGTTGGTTTAGCGCCCTCCACTTCTTTCCATTATCAATATTTATGTTTAAGTTATTTTCATGTTTAAATTAACTGCCACGTGAATCTCCACCTATGTAGGCAGCCTACTCTTTTTCAATGAGACCACACATAGACGCACTTGAACTCGCACGCGAAACTAGTGTGTGAATAATGCGAAAAAAATGCTTTTAATACAGTAGGTAGGCTTAGGCTAACGCATACACAGTAGAAAATCGACCGTTTCCAATGAATCTGCGGCACAAAAACATTTTCATCTAAAGTCATCTGTCTGACTGGCCGCAGCATGAACAATGCCGACCACGCCGCAATCTCCGTCCGCGACCCACAGGACTGCAACCTCTCTAGTAGGTAGCGCCGTCCTTGATGCGGCAGAGAACAAATTATCGCGCGAGTGAACTGTACAATGTTTCCACGCATGCGCATTCATATATTATCTGTGCGCTAGCAGGCTAGCCAACTGGCTACCAAGATATATTGAAATACGTTATTCGAGCAGTTTTTCTTTTGTTTGGTAGGGAAATGGGAATTCGTTATTAACTGTCACTAAGACGAATCGTTTCTATGTACGCCATGGATGTCTCGTGTCTGATGTCGACGACCAGAATGCTAACTACAGTTTATTAGCCGCTAGCTAGCTAGTTTTCAGTTCATTCATTGACGTCATTGCAAGAAGAGCATCCATGATTATTTTATGTGGCTAAAAATGTATATTTTGTTCACGATTATTACTTCATTAGTTTGCTATTTGATTTTGAAATGGATGAAAAAGAGGAGGTATTGCACGGACTTGAAAAGACTGGATGGCAATACAGTTCTCATTACTGGTAAGGCAGATAGCTAGCTAGCAAATTAGCTAGCTAGTAGCCGCGCATGTGCCGAAAGGGACGGTTTGTCTCGCTTTAGCTATGTAGACGTAGCGCCAATCGCACATAGCGTAGTTACAATCACATCAGTACCACAGTTTCTGGCAGTACGTCTGTTAGCTCAGAGGTTTTATAATATGCCATTTAGCAGACGCTTTTATCCAAAGCGACTTACAGTTTTCAAACGTTTCTTGCTCAGGGACCCCCACCGAGTAGAACCGGCGACCAAGGGACCGCGATAATGTAATATTAGTAAAATAATTTAAATCATGTCTTCTCATCAGGTAAATTATAATGGCAATTAGAAGTAATACATATTTTAAAATTAATAGATTTGGTACAGTTTCATTATTTTGACCACCCCACAGTTCATTGGAAGAGGAAGTGTAAACTCATAACAAACAGGTAGCAGTGACAGCAGTGGAGGCTGCTGAGGGGAGGACTGTTCATGATAATGGCAGGAATGGGGCGAATGGAATGTCATCAAACACATGGAAACCATGTGGTTGATGTATTGGATACCATTCCACCTATATCCTGCTCCAGCCATTACCACGAGCCTGTTCTCCCCAGTTAAGGTGCCACCAACCTCCTGTGAGTGACAGGTAGTCTATTAACTAGAAAGGTATCTTGGTGGCATAGAGGACATTTTGTTGTAAAGCACATTTTCTGCAATTCTACAAATGTTTCCATTGAGCTGGGAGAACATTTTGCAGTTTTGAATAAAATGTCCAGCAATTCTACACAGCTTGGCATGAAGCTGAAAGTCAATTTCTATATATGCATTTTGCTATGGCAAGTGCTGAGTTCCTCTGCTCAAACATTATAACAAAATCAATGGGCATGTGCCCTGAATGCCCAGTTTTGGGAATTTTTTATTCTCCCTGACTGTCTAGCTTTTATTTGATAATTAGTTCTCAAATATAGTATTATAAAAAAAAATATATATAGTTCAATGTCATTTCTACATGCTTTCTATCCGGTTTAAGTTGACACTGAAACAGTTTTTCCATCCTGAAAATTACCACTTACATGGCCCGCCTAAGAATTTTCTATACAGAAAAGAAAACTGTAATTAGCGCCAATGACTAATTTCTTCCATATTAAAGGGATAGTTTGAGATGTTGGCAATGAAGCCATTTATCCACTTCCCCAGAGTCGGATGAACAGGAACAGCTAGCTTGCTGACTGTTCCTGTAGATTTCCAGTCATTGCGCTAACACTAGTTAGCATTGACTTGTGAAACTACCTTTAACTTCCTTCAAACTGGATGCAGAGACATAAAAATGGTATCCACAGTGGTATTCTGTTGCAGCTAGCGATATTCATAAAACATATTTTTTCACATAAAAAAAACCTAGAGAGCCGCAGACCCCCGTTTGAAAACCCCTGTGCTAGCTAATACAATACCCACTTGCAAAGGTTGTGAGTGATGCATAAATGTATTTATTAACATGAAATAAAACAGGTAACGCCTCTTAGGGTCGTTACTAGTTACCACAGGCACAAAGTCATAAACCCCTCCTTTTTCTACAATTTCTCTTCTTAAAATGTAATTTTAACCCTAACCTTAACCACACTGCTAACCTTAGGCCTAACCCTTACTTTAAATGAAGACCAAAAAGCTCATTTTTGTTTTCATGAATTTTCACAATATAGCCAATTTTGACTGTGGCTGTGCTATCTAGTGGAAACCCTCTGAGGGAGGATGAATGCATTTTTTAGAAGTCACAGTGCTGTTAGCAACCTTACCCCCCTTATTCAGATGTTTAGTTGGAGATATCTTATTGCACATTAATAGATTATCACTGTTTTGTTTTTTAGACTGTTTGTAGTCTAATTCACAAAGTTTGCTGTACACTAGGCTGTACACTAGTGTATCATAGCTTTGTAATAATAATCATCATCCATTCTCTCTCTCCCTCTCTCCCTACCTACCTGTTTCTTTTAGGTGGCAATGCTGGCATCGGCAAAGAGACAGCGGTTGCCTTGGCGATGCGAGGTGCCCGTGTCATCATAGCTTGCCGTGACGTGGACAAGGCTGAGAAGGCGGTGAGGGAGATCAAGATCAGGGGTCACAACGTAAACGTCCATCACATGGAGCTGGATCTGGCCAACATGTGCTCCATACGAGACTTCTGTAAGACCTTCCTTCAGAGAGAGAAGAGGTTGGACATCCTCATCAACAACGCAGGTGAGAGAGAGGAGTCTGTGACACCCTCATAAAAAAGCCCTTAGACCACAGGTGTCAAAATCATTCCACGGAGGCCTGAGTGGCTGCGGGTTTTCACTCCTCCCTTGTACTTGATTGATGAATTAAGGTCACTAATTAGTAAGGAACTCCCCACACCTGGTTGTCTAGGTCTTAATTGAAAGGAAAAACCAAACACCTGCAGACACTAGGCCTTCTGGAATGAGTTTGACATGTGCCTTAGACTCTTTGGCATTCAGAGCAGCGGTAGTAAACTCAAACGTTAAGCAATCTCGCTAGCTAACCTCCCCCCTCCACTCACAGCCATGCCCAGCGTGCTGGACTGGACGGAGGACAACTTCAGCATGTGTTTCGGTGTGAACCACCTCGGCCACTTCCTGTTGACCAACCTACTGTTGGGCCACCTGAAGGCTTCGGCCCCCAGCCGCGTGGTCACGCTCACCTGCTCCAACTACAAGTACCAGAAGTTAGACTTCCAGGACCTCAACTATAACCTGCTGCCTTTCTTCACCTACTGCCGCAGCAAGCTGGCCAACATCTACTTCAGCCAGGAGCTGGATAGAATGATGGAGGGCAAAGGAGTGACGGCGTACGCTGTGCACCCTGGTGAGACTTGAAGCACTAGTGTATACTTAGATTAAACTTGTCACACTGATACAATGATAGATGATTTTACATAGTCATAATCTAATGGCCTAGATGACAGAGAGGAAAGGGGTGACCACCTACGCTGTGCATCCTGGTGAGGCTTGATGCACTAGTGTCTGTATCAGTGTTTCCACTGCATTAGTTTAGCTGTGGTCCTGCGCCAAGGCTAAATCATTGCCGCCACTGCAAAAACATAGTATTTCTACGAAACGTACATTCAATAGAGTTTTGTTATTTGCATTCACTTTTCCTCTGTACATACAGTGCATTCTCAAAGTATTCAGACCCCTTTACTTTTTCCACATTTTGTTACGTTTCAGCCTTATTCTGAAATGGATAAAAAATTGTTTTCCCCTCATCAATATACACACAATACCCCATAATGACAAAGCGAAAACAGGTTTTTAGAAATTTGGGCAAATTTATTCAAACTAAAAAACAAAAATACCTTATTTACAAAAGTATTCAGACCCTTTGCTATGAGACTCGAAATTGAGATTAGGTGCATCCTGTTTCCATTGATCATCCTTGAGATGTTTCTACAACACACACTTGAGATGTTTTCTACACAGTCCACCTGTGGTAAATTCAATTGATTGGACATGATTTGGAAAGGCACACACCTGTCTATATAAGGTCCCACAGTTGACAGTGCATGTCAGAACAAAAACCAAGCCATAAGGTCGAAGGAATTGTCCGTAGAGCTCCGAGACAGGATTGTGTCGAGGCACAGATCTGGGGGGAAGGGTACCAAATAATGTCTGCAGCATTGAAGGTCCCCAAGAACACAGTAGCCTCCATCATTCTTAAATGGAAGAAGTTTGGAACCACCAGGACTCTTCCTAGAGCTGGCTGCCCGGCCAAACTGAGCATTCGGGGGAGAAGGGCCTGACCAAGAACCCGATGGTCAGTCTGACAAAGCTGCAGAGTGGAGATGGGAGAACCTTCCAGAAGGACAACCATCTCTGCAACACTCCACCAATCAGGTCTTTATGGTAGAGTGGCCAGACGGAAGCCACTCCTCAGTAATAGACACACGGCAGCCCGCTTGGAGTTTGCTAAAAGGCACCTAAAGGACTCTCAGACCATGAGCAACAAGATTCTCTGGTCTGATGAAACCAAGATTGAACTCTTTGGCCTGAATGCCAAGCGTCACGTCTGGAGGAAACCAGGCACCATCCCTACGGTGAAGCATGGTGGTGGCAGCATCATGCTGTGGATATGTTTTTCAGTGGCAGGGACTGTGAGACTAGTCAGGATCGAGGGAAGGATGAACGGAGCAAAGTACAGAGAGGTCTTTGATGAAAACCTGCTCCAGAGCGCTCATGACCTCAGAATGGGGCAAAGGTTCACCTTTCAACAGGACAATGACCCTAAGCACACAGCCAAGACAACGCAGGAGTGGCTTCGGGACAAGTCTCTGAATGTCCTTGAGTGGCCCACCCAGAGCCCCGACAAGAACCCGATCAAGCATCTCTGGAGAGAACAGAAAATAGCTGTGCAGCGACGCTCCCCATCCAACCTGACAGAGCTTGAGAGAATCTGCAGAGAAGAATGGGAGAAACTCCCCAAATACAGGTGTGCCAAGCTTGTAGCGTCATACCCAAGAAGACTCGAGGCTGTAATCGCTGCCAAAGTTGCTTCATCAAAGTACTGAGTAAAGGGTCTGAATACTTATGTAAATGTGATATTTCACTTTTTTGCTTTTAATACATTTGCTAAAATGTCTAAACCTGTTTTTGCTTCGTCATTATGGGGTATTGTGTGTAGATTGATGAGGATAATAAAAAATAAAAAAAAGTTTAATTAGGCTGTAACGTAACAAAATGTAGAAAAAGTCAAGGGGTCTGAATACTTTCCGAATGCACTGTAGATCATCTGTCCAGGTACAACACCGTTCTAAAGGTTATTTAGTCCGGGTACAACACCGCCCTCGAGACGGCTCGCTAGTCACTGGAGAGACAGGCTGAGCGTGCCAGTCACTGGTACGGAATACATATTTGGAACTTTGTCATTCCTCATCCTCACCCCTCATCTAGTCAAGTCTCAGCCCTCCTCAACCCTCACCCCTCCCCTAGTCGAGTATCAACCAGTGGCGTATTGCAGGTCCGAGCAGACTCTTTTATTGGGAAAACTTTTTTTTGGGGTGGGGGGCTAACTTCTTGCAGTTCTACACATTTTGCTGTGAGGCTTAGACAAAAATATGAATTTTCATAGCTAATTTAGTCTAACTCTAAACATTTTGCCATGGCTTATGACGTGTTCATATGCTATCTGGTGAGGGGGCCTAAGCTTTAGGGGAGAGTCTCAGCTTTCTGTGAGTATACATATTATTTCTCAACTCTTAATTTTGAGGACATACCACCACTTTACAAATGGAGTAGCCTATTTAATTGAGATGATGCGCTGGCAGAACAGAACAGAGCACGCCATTTGCGGTGAATACATCAAGTAGCTTATAGGCCTACCAATGGAAAGTTTTTGTAGGACAAACATTTTACTGTTAAATTATAAATGACATGGCTATGAGCAACAATATCATATTTAGAGTTAGCAATCTAGCTAATGTGTTTTGAGTTCCTACTGCCTCAGGTGGGGATTTATGTAGCATATTAACCTAGGCCAATATGCACCAAAAATATTATATTCTCAAAAGAGGCAAAAATAAACTCAGCAAAAAAAGAAACGTCCCTTTTTCAGGAACCTGTCTTTCAAAGATAATTTGTAAAAATCCAAATAACTTCACAGAACTTCATTGTAAAGGGTTTAAACACTGTTTCCCATGCTTGTTCAATGAACCATAAACAATTAATGAACATGCACCTGTGGAACGGTCGTTAAGACACTAACAACTTACAGACGGTAGGCAATTAAGGTCACAGTTATGAAAACTTAGGACACTAAAGAGGCCTTTCTACTGACTCTGAAAAACACCAAAAGAAAGATGCCCAGGGTCCCTGCTCATCTGCGTGAACGTGCCTTAGGCATGCTGCAAGGAGGCATGAGGACTGCAGATGTGGCCAGGGCAATAAATTGCAATGTCCGTACTGTGAAACACCTAAGACAGCGCTACAGGGAGACAGGACGGACAGCTGATCATCCTCGCAGTGGCAGACCACGTGTAACAGCACCTGCACAGGATCGGTACATCTGAACATCACACCTGCAGGACAGGTACAGGATGGCAACAACAACTGCCCGAGTTACACCAAGAACGCACAATCCCTCCATCAGTGCTCATACTGTCCGCAATAGGCTGAGAGAGGCTGGACTGAGGGCTTGTAGGCCTGTTGTAAGGCAGGTCCTCACCAGACATCACCGGCAACAACGTCGCCTATGGGCACAAACCCACCGTTGCTGGACCAGACAGGACTGGCAAAAAGTGCTCTTCACTGACGAGTCGCGGTTTTGTCTCACCAAGGGTGATGGTCAGATTCGCGTTTATCGTCGAAGGAATGAGCGTTACACCGAAGCCTGTACTCTGGAGTGGGATCGATTTGGAAGTGGAGGGTCCGTCATGGTCTGGGGCGGTGTCACAGCATCATCAGACTGAGCTTGTTGTCATTGCAGGCAATCTCAACGTTGTGCGTTACAGGGAAGACATCCTCCTCCCTCATGTGGTACCCTTCCTGCAGGCTCATTCTGACATGACCCTCCAGCATGACAATGCCACCAGCCATACTGCTCGTTCTGTGTGTGAGTTCCTGCAAGACAGGAATGTCAGTGTTCTGCCATGGCCAGCGAAGAGCCCGGATCTCAATCCCATTGAGGGCCAATCCCCCCAGAAATGTCCAGGAACTTGCAGGTGCCTTGGTGGATGAGTGGGGTAACATCTCACAGCAAGAACTGGCAAATCTGGTGCAGTCCATGAGGAGGAGAGTCACTGCAGTACTTAATGCAGCTGGTGGCCACACCAGATACTGACTGTTACTTTTGATTTTGAACCCCCCCTTTGTTCAGGGATACATTATTCAATTTCTGGTAGTCACATGTCTGTGGAACTTGTTCAGTTTATGTCTCAGTTGTTGAATCTTATGTTCATACAAATATTTACACATGTTAAGTTTGCTGAAAATAAACGCAGTTGACAGTGAGAGGACGTTTCTTTTTTTGCTGAGTTTACATCTGATCGTTCAGGATCCTATTTTGACATGTTGCACATCAAAATATCCATCATGGTGGCAGGTAGCCTAGCGGTTAGAGCGTGGGGCCAGTAACTGAAAGGTTGCTGGTTCGAGTACCCGAGCCGACAAAGTGAAAAATCTGTCGATGTGCCCTTGAGCAAGGCACTTAACCCTCATTTTCTCCAGGGGTGCCGTACTACTATGGCTGACCCTGTAAAACAACACATTTCACTGCACCTATCCGGTGTATGTGACAGTAAAACATCTTATCATGCATTTCCAGAACATGTTAGATGAAATAGCTAACTTCAATCATGTCTTACTTGGCACTGGAAAAACTGTCTAGAGCCCTGCCGCTAATGGAAAGTACCGTATTTTCCGCACTATAAGGCGCACCGGAGTATAAGCCGCAGCAGCTAAATTGAATGATATTGAATGATGTGTACATATATAAGCCGCACTGGACTATAAGCCGCAGTTGTTTTAATGTTTAATTACCATATGTAAGGGTTCGTGCACAGAGGGGATTGTCGGGAAAGAGACAAACTGTCTCGCTTTCGTAATGTCTGTCTGTCTTGCTCTCGTTCTGTCTCTCGTACCACTCTCGGTTCCACTTTTACTTTTGCGCGCTACCTGTCTCACTCATTTCCGGCCTCCAGCTTTTCCTGCTGGAGCCCGCCGCTTAAAGGTGGGGGGCGCGGACCGGTCATAGAGCCCATAGAGTTAAAGTTGGTGGACTGTAACCTGTAAAATCCATAGATTTAGGAGGTCTTCTAGTGGCCGTTAGCTGTAAAAATCCATAGATTAGCCGCACCGTTATATAAGCCGCTGGGTCGAAAAATTGGGAAAAAGGCGCGGCTTATAGTCCGAAAATTACGGTAACTGTGCATAAAAAAATATATATATTGTTGTATTTATCGTTATTGAGCAAAATGGGTCAATTTATCATGATATTACTTTTATTTATTTATATCGCCCAGCTCTAATCTGCACAGTATACTGTATACTGAAGCATTTATAATACAAAATAAAATAAACTCCCCCCTCTGCTACTACAATTTCCAGAGGAAACACTGGTCTGTATACTGTAGATTATACTAATACAGTCATAGCTGTAGATCAAATAGTCACATAATGAAATTGCCAGTTGATGGAAGAGAAAGGGGTGAAAGGGCCTACACTGCAACCTCTTTCAATAGATAGGCTTACTATCTGTCTCACAGTGGCATGCACACATCCATGGTTTCAGATAATGGAGGCACAACTCTCTTGTCGATTGAAAGTTAATTGTTAAGTGACAAAAAATGTAAAAAAGAAAGAGACATCTATTACAGGAAGGATACCTACCCGATCCCCCCCATTTTGGGGCATAGAATCAGTGTGTGGGAATTATTTCATGCATCACACTTACACCCCTTCTCCCTCCCTCTCCCAGGCTATGTTCAGAGCAGTTGGACATATCACTACTCCATCCTGTTCCGTATGCTGATGCAGGTGATCATGTTCATGTTCTTCGTGCCGTGTGAAATGGGCGCTCAGACCGTGGTCTACTGCGCCGTGTCGGACGAGGCTGCCAAGCACAGTGGGGGATACTTCACCGACTGCCGGCCCGCCACGCTGAGATCTTTCGCCAGAGACGCCGGCGTGGCCAAAAAACTGTGGGAGGCCAGCGAGAGGCTGGTCAACCTGGCCTGAGAAAGGATTAAGGCTTCGTAAGGCTTGTAGAAGTATTTTAGCCTGGAATACTCACTGAATATCACTCTGTTTTGCTATTGTTTTTTAAAACAAAAACAATGGTGGAAGGGTATGATATTCAGTTTTGGATTTCCAGTCCAGGAGTGTTTTCTAGGTTTGTTGAAATATTAATATAACTCAAGTTAAAAAAAAGACATTCCCTCACACTGTTGGCTTGCAATGTTTCACTGTTGTAATTAGTAAAAGTTACTGACTGTTAATGTTTTGATCAAAGCATTAAGAAGGTCAGTAGACCGAAACGTTAACGATCAAATTAAACTATGAAGCTTTGCGAGAAAGAAATGTGTGAGAACATTATTTTGGTCAAACTAGCCTGGAATGACTTTATTTATGTTATTGTTTTTTTATAACTATTTATTTGTCTTCAGGGGACCTGATTGTGAAGTATGTCTGTGTTTCTTTTTTTATGAATGGGGAATGCATTGTTTAATATTTTTATGGTTAGCCTTTTTATTGCTGTCCTAAAACACATGGCTGCTTTTTCTTCTGTCGTAATAAAACCTGGGGAAAAAATATTGCAATAAAATCTGTGGCAATAAGGTCCTGTCTGATGTCTTGTTATTAGTCAAAGGATACTTGTATGTTTTTTTAAGAGTGTACAGAGAATGTGGTGTTGTTTAGTAGAGCACATTTCAGAACACTCGATAGGAGAAGCATGCAGCTGGTATCCACAGAGAGACAGAACGGGGGAATTTGAGATGCTTCACCAGTTCCTGAAAGAGGAAGAGGATGCCAGACTGGCTTCACTGAGGGAGAAGGAGAAGGGAACGATGATCGCCAGAGAGATGAAGAACATTCAGGACCAGATTTCTACTCTCACAGAAAACCTCATTGCACTGGAGCAGAAACCCCCCCCCCCAAAAAGGAGCTGCCATTACTCAAACTAAAAACACCCAGACAAGCTACAGAGCCCAGTGCACACTGGCAGATCCACAGCTAGTCTTAGGAGCGCTGATAGCTGTGGCCAAACACCTGGGCAATCTGCAGTTCTGAGACTGGGAGAAGATCCAAGGGATTGTCTAATACACTCCTGTGATTCTGGACCCCAACACTGCTGAATGCAGGCTATATCTGTCTGAGGAAAGCCCGGTGATGCTATCTACCCTGATATACAGATCTGACAATCAGAGGTATCTCTGACAGTGATGTAGTCCCGATGAGGGGTGTGTGTGTGTGTGTGTGTGTGACAGAGATTAGTGCTTTGGTGTCTAATGAACATGAATCACTTTGATATGATTATTGATGATTATAACATGTTTTTCTGTTTGAGTAATACACACTCAGATCTCAGAGAGATTGAACTGTTTATTTATACGTAGTGAATCACAGAGTAATGCTTTTAGGGTTGGGTTGTGCTCTCATGCTGGGGATGGTGCACTGCTGGGTTTCTGTCATCTACATGTAACTGTTTATTACACAGGAGGCTGCTGAGGGGTGAAAGGTTCATAATTATGTCCGGAACTGAGAAAATGGAATGGCATCAAACACCTGGAAACCATGTGCTGGATGTATTTGATACCATTCCACTGATTCCGCTCCAGTCATTACCACGAGCCCGTTCTCCCCAATTAAGGTGCCACCAACCTCCTGTGGTTTGTTATGAAGATTCATGAAAGGAATGGATAAGCTTTGTATTATAGTCTCAAGTCACCAGTTTTCTACATCATACTCATTTGACTGAATGGGACTTAGAGAGGACAAAGGCCAAGGGCATAATGTCTGTGATCAGTTCAAGTTGAACTATAGGAGAGTAATATGACAGAGTATGTGTGTTCACAGTGAGATGATGTCATAGGGAGCAGCTTTCTCCAGAGGTCTGTTTTGTGCTGTATGATTTTATCTTATTTATGATGTAATTTTTTGGCTGTTATTTTCAAAACTTTTTTATTGAAGAAAGGACAAATACATTTTTCAAATTAAATATTGACTTTTAAATATTGCATGAATATATGGGTAGCCTTATGTCTTATCTGTATATGCTTTACTAATCACTATCAAATATGACATGTTCTGATTTGAAAAATATCAGATATTATTTAACATGAATCATCATCTACTGTAACATCAAACTATGGGTGCGTTCGTAAATTCACTCTGGCTATCTACTCCGATTTCAGAGTACTCTCGTCTGAGAGTGCCAGAGTGCAGAAAAACAGACAAATTTACAAACGTTCAACACCCATTCAATATGGCCGGTGTCAGTAAACGTCGGCAAAAAAGCGTAATTAAATTATTGCCAGCAGCAGTTGCAGTCACCAACGCTCTGGATAACATAGAAACAGCCTAACCAGCTCTGCTAGGGCGAGTAAAATGGTCAGAGTGAGGTGTTCTCTCATTTGTGTCTGGAAGTAGCTAGCAAGCTAGCCAACATTAGCCAGTTAGCTTGGGTGCTTGACTGCCGTTGTGAGGCCAGAACGCTCGGATCAACCCTACTCCTCGGCCAGAGCGTCCAGTGTGCGCTCTGAACGCTCGAGAGCGAAACGCTCTGAATTTACAAACTGATAATCTGACAACGCTCTGAATTTACGAAGGGCACTCTGAGCGCACTCTGGCACTCCAGATTGAATTTACGAACGCACCCTTTGTATGAATCTAAAGTATCAACTGTTAGCCCAGTTACACTTGTGACATATATATCTTTTTAAATATGAAATGTCACTATTATATTATTGTAATATTATTTCCTAATCTCTGTATCGGATTAACCGTTGAAAAACTTTAACTGATTTCTCTCTCATCAATAAAAAGCCCAGGAGGATGTCTTTGATCATTAAGATGGAGGATAAATAGGATAAACTTATTTTTATTTAAATTGTCATTTTATTGATAACACCTTAACACATTTCCTTAAATTAGAGAAACACATGTAGCATGTTGGAGAATAGAGCAATAATCAGAAGAATCAGAGAAATATAGGATAAATATATTCTACAGATGAAACCCAAACTGACAAAAAATAAACAAAGCCAGGGAAAATATAAAGACCCAAAGGTTTGTAAACAGAGGGACTAAGAAAATAGTGAAAGAAATACTAGCGAGAGATACTAGCTCAGTGTTGTCAGTGCAGGTGGTCTAGTCATTGGATGGATGCACTTTGTATTCCTATGTTTCAAATGTTTCCAAAATTAACTAAAGAAACATAGTCCAGTGTGTTCTTCCCTCTAAAGTCTATTGGAACCGATTACTTAAAAGTTTGCTTATTGGGAAGTTACTTCAGCATCCCCAGCCTTTACAATTTTAGACAAATCTGCCCCCTTATCGGCTAGTTGTGCTTTATTACATGTGAGAGTGCTCTCTAGTGGGGTTATAGTGGAACTGCAGGTGTTCTTTATGTATCCTTTTTGAGTAAGTATTGAGTGCTGTTCCTCTCAAAGGGGTGAATCCTAACTTCCACTTACAGTGGTTCCTCATTTAAAAGTTGCTTAATACAGCAGTATAGCGTGTGGTATGCTGTGGTAGGATTCATTGTGTCGCAGTGTTTGCCTTTAACGCTCATTTTAACCACCAGAGGGCATCTTTTAGCACATCTAGGCCTACTCCATCTACTACATTATTTGACCGTTGCAATTTGAGATTATGCATTCACTGTAAGTCAAATTTCTACTTAGTCTACCATTGACATCAATGCATTACTATGTTAAAAATGTACTTAAGCGGAAGCTAGGATTTCCACCCAAGTCCACATGCAAGTTCAGTAGAGCAGGGGTCACTGGAGATGCTTATGGTTTAGAGGTGATCCTCTGCATTGACAACATTGAGCTCTATATAAAGGCATGCAGTAGAATCATCATCATCCTTGTCATAATCATCAATATCAAAGTCAGCCTTATCATGATCATCTATCTTTGTTATGTCATCTCGAGACAAAAATAGTTTTATGCACTTAAAAAGCTCAGAAAATAGATTGAGAAAGGTTTAGTATACCAGCATTCAGTAGGACAAATCAGGGTTAACACCAGAACTAATGTCCTGTCGACTATCATGCAAAGAAATGACAGCTAAGATGCTAGTTAATAGCTAAGAAGAACATAATACAACATCTTTGTACATGCTTCTTTTTCTTCTTTTTTTGGAGAGGGGGAAGAGGTCGGGTCACATGTTTGGTTAGCTTGATCACTCTGGAGCACTTCTAGGGACATAGAAGGGAACCTCCCTTTAAATCACAATGCAACAGAGAGTAATTGAACATTTACCGTATATCGAGGGATAAACAAAAGAAAACATTGAAGAAAAAGCACATAACTGTCCAATAAAATAAATAAATAAATAATCAAATAAATATGAACCTGAGGACTAACCAACCGGCTGACCGCCTGACTGTCCAATGAGACGGTCAAAATTGTCTGGCCAATAGTGATGAGACACTTCCGAAGGCAGCCAATCATAGGCAGGCATAACAACTATGGTAGGACGGCGGGAAAAAAAAACACTCACTTAGATCCACAATTTGAAACTTTGATCAAGTTCCAGGCTGACTATATGTTGCAGACACCTGACAGATCTCACAACGTCTGGATAGGTATTTAACATATCAGCTAACCCAATCCTATAATATATTATAGCAATTGGATACCCGACTGCACAGTCCATGATGTGACACGCAACCATTTGTTGATGAAATGCAACTGTAATATAGTGGGCCTGCAACATTACCAAACAATCCAGAGCTGACTTTTCTTCAGATAAGTTACATGGGTGTGTGAAGCCATCTCTTCCTAAAACATGTAAATCCATCTGTCCATCTCTCCCTGGCACAAACACAATGAATAGTAACACTAGTCAATAACACGCAATAGTAACACAATCAATGAAGATGATATTACAAATGTGAAAATATAATATACATAAAAAGATAATTAAATCATAAGAAAAGTAAGTCCTGGACTGAAGGCAGAGGACTGATAGGACCTCTGAAATAAAGCCTTCTTCTCCTAACCTCTCTCTCTCTCTCTCTCTCTCTCTCTCTCTCTCTCTCTCTCTCTCTCTCTCTCTCTCTCTCTCTCTCTCTCTCTCTCTCTCTCTCTCTCCACACTCCTCTAAATCTCCATCATGTGGAAAACCAACACAGCAGCTCTCCCCTTATACACACAGTCTTCTGGATACCTTGTGAGACCTCAGTCACATCTCTCCACTCTAAAATGAGCAGCACCAACTAGAGACCACAGGACAGAGGGACAAGGTTTATGCAAAGTAAACACACATATGCATGCACATGACCTCGCCACTAAAACACCTGCCACCTGCAGACAACACAGGCCCACATCTCGCCAGTCCAGACAGACATACTGTAGTTGTCCAACAGCCTGCCTGTTAGCTCTCCATTAACCCCCACTAAACATATTGAACAGGCATAGAGCCCTAGGCACGGCTCTATGCCATGCAGGACCTCAGTAGTGATGCAGTTTCCAGGTTTTATATGGGATCAGAGTGCAACTGGCTCAGGTGAGGTGTGAGAGAATGGATGGTAGCACCTTATGACGCAGTATGGATTTATAAGTGCGTAAGGCTTCATCCCCGCTCACTAAAGGTTCTAAAAAGCACCCCTGTACAGAAAGATGAGATGTGAGAGGTGCTATAGGTACTGTACTGTTTTAAAGAGACTGCAAAACAGCTTTAAGATGTTGAAAGATAAGTAGTGAAGCTGATATGTATGGACACTATAGCATAATATTGCTGTGATATTGTTTATTCACTTGTTCTATAGCGGCTGTACATGTAGAGGCCTCATTTGCAGTGTGTGCAGTGCAGTACAGTGTGCAGTGCAGTGCAGTGTGCAGTGCAGTATATTGTCAAGTTGGGTGATGATACTGCAATATCTAATCGAACCCCACCGAGTAGAACCGGCGACCAAGGGACCGCGATAATGTAATATTAGTAAAATAATTTAAATCATGTCTTCTCATCAGGTAAATTATAATGGCAATTAGAAGTAATACATATTTTAAAATTAATAGATTTGGTACAGTTTCATTATTTTGACCACCCCACAGTTCATTGGAAGAGGAAGTGTAGCTTAGTGGTTAAGAGCGTTGTGCCAGTAACCGAAAGGTCGCTGGTTCTAATTCCCGAGCCGACTAGGTGAAAAATCTGTCGATGTGCCCTTGAGCAAGGTACTTAACCCTAATTGCTCCTGTAAGTCGCTCTGGATAAGAGCGTCTGCTAAATGACTAAAAATAAAAATAAAGTGTAAACTCATAACAAACAGGTAGCAGTGACAGCAGTGGAGGCTGCTGAGGGGAGGACTGTTCATAATAATGGCAGGAATGGGGCGAATGGAATGTCATCAAACACATGGAAACCATGTGGTTGATGTATTGGATACCATTCCACCTATATCCTGCTCCAGCCATTACCACGAGCCTGTTCTCCCCAGTTAAGGTGCCACCAACCTCCTGTGAGTGACAGGTAGTCTATTAACTAGAAAGGTATCTTGGTGGCATAGAGGACATTTTGTTGTAAAGCACATTTTCTGCAATTCTACAAATGTTTCCATTGAGCTGGGAGAACATTTTGCAGTTTTGAATAAAATGTCCAGCAATTCTACACAGCTTGGCATGAAGCTGAAAGTCAATTTCTATATATGCATTTTGCTATGGCAAGTGCTGAGTTCCTCTGCTCAAACATTATAACAAAATCAATGGGCATGTGCCCTGAATGCCCAGTTTTGGGATTTTTTTATTCTCCCTGACTGTCTAGCTTTTATTTGATAATTAGTTCTCAAATATGGTATTATTAAAAAAAATATATATAGTTCAATGTCATTTCTACATGCTTTCTATCCGGTTTAAGTTGACACTGAAACAGTTTTTCCATCCTGAAAATTACCACTTACATGGCCCGCCTAAGAATTTTCTATACAGAAAAGAAAACTGTAATTAGCGCCAATGACTAATTTCTTCCATATTAAAGGGATAGTTTGAGATGTTGGCAATGAAGCCATTTATCCACTTCCCCAGAGTCGGATGAACAGGAACAGCTAGCTTGCTGACTGTTCCTGTAGATTTCCAGTCATTGCGCTAACACTAGTTAGCATTGACTTGTGAAACTACCTTTAACTTCCTTCAAACTGGATGCAGAGACATAAAAATGGTATCCACAGTGGTATTCTGTTGCAGCTAGCGATATTCATAAAACATATTTTTTCACATAAAAAAAACCTAGAGAGCCGCAGACCCCCGTTTGAAAACCCCTGTGCTAGCTAATACAATACCCACTTGCAAAGGTTGTGAGTGATGCATAAATGTATTTATTAACATGAAATAAAACAGGTAACGCCTCTTAGGGTCCTTACTAGTTACCACAGGCACAAAGTCATAAACCCCTCCTTTTTCTACAATTTCTCTTCTTAAAATGTAATTTTAACCCTAACCTTAACCACACTGCTAACCTTAGGCCTAACCCTTACTTGAATTGAAGACCAACAAGCTCATTTTTGTTTTCATTAATTTTCACAATATAGCCAATTTTGACTGTGGCTGTGCTATCTAGTGGAAACCCTCTGAGGGAGGATGAATGCATTTTTTAGAAGTCACAGTGCTGTTAGCAACCTTACCCCCCTTATTCAGATGTTTAGTTGGAGATATCTTATTGCACATTAATAGATTATCACTGTTTTGTTTTTTAGACTGTTTGTAGTCTAATTCACAAAGTTTGCTGTACACTAGGCTACTAGTGTATCATAGCTTTGTAATAATAATCATCATCCATTCTCTCTCTCCCTCTCTCCCTACCTACCTGTTTCTTTTAGGTGGCAATGCTGGCATCGGCAAAGAGACAGCGGTTGCCTTGGCGATGCGAGGTGCCCGTGTCATCATAGCTTGCCGTGACGTGGACAAGGCTGAGAAGGCGGTGAGGGAGATCAAGATCAGGGGTCACAACGTAAACGTCCATCACATGGAGCTGGATCTGGCCAACATGTGCTCCATACGAGACTTCTGTAAGACCTTCCTTCAGAGAGAGAAGAGGTTGGACATCCTCATCAACAACGCAGGTGAGAGAGAGGAGTCTGTGACACCCTCATAAAAAAGCCCTTAGACCACAGGTGTCAAAATCATTCCACGGAGGCCCGAGTGGCTGCGGGTTTTCACTCCTCCCTTGTACTTGATTGATGAATTAAGGTCACTAATTAGTAAGGAACTCCCCACACCTGGTTGTCTAGGTCTTAATTGAAAGGAAAAACCAAACACCTGCAGACACTAGGCCTTCTGGAATGAGTTTGACATGTGCCTTAGACTCTTTGGCATTCAGAGCAGCGGTAGTAAACTCAAACGTTAAGCAATCTCGCTAGCTAACCTCCCCCCTCCACTCACAGCCATGCCCAGCGTGCTGGACTGGACGGAGGACAACTTCAGCATGTGTTTCGGTGTGAACCACCTCGGCCACTTCCTGTTGACCAACCTACTGTTGGGCCATCTGAAGGCTTCGGCCCCCAGCCGCGTGGTCACGCTCACCTGCTCCAACTACAAGTACCAGAAGTTAGACTTCCAGGACCTCAACTATAACCTGCTGCCTTTCTTCACCTACTGCCGCAGCAAGCTGGCCAACATCTACTTCAGCCAGGAGCTGGATAGAATGATGGAGGGCAAAGGAGTGACGGCGTACGCTGTGCACCCTGGTGAGACTTGAAGCACTAGTGTATACTTAGATTAAACTTGTCACACTGATACAATGATATTATGTCACACTGATACAATGATATTACGTAATGTCTGTCTGTCTTGCTCTCGTTCTGTCTCTCGTTCGGTCTCTCGTACCACTCTCGGTTCCACTTTTACTTTTGCGCGCTACCTGTCTCACTCATTTCCGGCCTCCAGCTTTTCCTGCTGGAGCCCGCCGCTTAAAGGTGGGGGGCGCGGACCGGTCATAGAGCCCATAGAGTTAAAGTTGGTGGACTGTAACCTGTAAAATCCATAGATTTAGGAGGTCTTCTAGTGGCCGTTAGCTGTAAAAATCCATAGATTAGCCGCACCGTTATATAAGCCGCTGGGGTCGAAAAATTGGGAAAAAGGCGCGGCTTATAGTCCGAAAATTACGGTAACTGTGCATAAAAAAATATATATATTGTTGTATTTATCGTTATTGAGCAAAATGGGTCAATTTATCATGATATTACTTTTATTTATTTATATCGCCCAGCTCTAATCTGCACAGTATACTGTATACTGAAGCATTTATAATACAAAATAAAATAAACTCCCCCCTCTGCTACTACAATTTCCAGAGGAAACACTGGTCTGTATACTGTAGATTATACTAATACAGTCATAGCTGTAGATCAAATAGTCACATAATGAAATTGCCAGTTGATGGAAGAGAAAGGGGTGAAAGGGCCTACACTGCAACCTCTCTCAATAGATAGGCTTACTATCTGTCTCACAGTGGCATGCACACATCCCTGGTTTCAGATAATGGAGGCACAACTCTCTTGTCGATTGAAAGTTAATTGTTAAGTGACAAAAAATGTAAAAAAGAAAGAGACATCTATTACAGGAAGGATACCTACCCGATCCCCCCATTTTGGGGCATAGAATCAGTGTGTGGGAATTATTTCATGCATCACACTTACACCCCTTCTCCCTCCCTCTCCCAGGCTATGTTCAGAGCAGTTGGACATATCACTACTCCATCCTGTTCCGTATGCTGATGCAGGTGATCATGTTCATGTTCTTCGTGCCGTGTGAAATGGGCGCTCAGACCGTGGTCTACTGCGCCGTGTCGGACGAGGCTGCCAAGCACAGTGGGGGATACTTCACCGACTGCCGGCCCGCCACGCTGAGATCTTTCGCCAGAGACGCCGGCGTGGCCAAAAAACTGTGGGAGGCCAGCGAGAGGCTGGTCAACCTGGCCTGAGAAAGGATTAAGGCTTCGTAAGGCTTGTAGAAGTATTTTAGCCTGGAATACTCACTGAATATCACTCTGTTTTGCTATTGTTTTTTAAAACAAAAACAATGGTGGAAGGGTATGATATTCAGTTTTGGATTTCCAGTCCAGGAGTGTTTTCTAGGTTTGTTGAAATATTAATATAACTCAAGTTTTAAAAAAAAAGACATTCCCTCACACTGTTGGCTTGCAATGTTTCACTGTTGTAATTAGTAAAAGTTACTGACTGTTAATGTTTTGATCAAAGCATTAAGAAGGTCAGTAGACCGAAACGTTAACGATCAAATTAAACTATGAAGCTTTGTGAGAAAGAAATGTGTGAGAACATTATTTTGGTCAAACTAGCCTGGAATGACTTTATTTATGTTATTGTTTTTTTATAACTATTTATTTGTCTTCAGGGGACCTGATTGTGAAGTATGTCTGTGTTTCTTTTTTTATGAATGGGGAATGCATTGTTTAATATTTTTATGGTTAGCCTTTTTATTGCTGTCCTAAAACACATGGCTGCTTTTTCTTCTGTCGTAATAAAACCTGGGGAAAAAATATTGCAATAAAATCTGTGGCAATAAGGTCCTGTCTGATGTCTTGTTATTAGTCAAAGGATACTTGTATGTTTTTTTTAAGAGTGTACAGAGAATGTGGTGTTGTTTAGTAGAGCACATTTCAGAACACTCGATAGGAGAAGCATGCAGCTGGTATCCACAGAGAGACAGAACGGGGGAATTTGAGATGCTTCACCAGTTCCTGAAAGAGGAAGAGGATGCCAGACTGGCTTCACTGAGGGAGAAGGAGAAGGGAACGATGATCGCCAGAGAGATGAAGAACATTCAGGACCAGATTTCTTCTCTCACAGAAAACCTCATTGCATTGGAGCAGAAACCCCCCCCCAAAAAAGGAGCTGCCATTACTCACAAACTAAAAACACCCAGACAAGCTACAGAGCCCAGTGCACACTGGCAGATCCACAGCTGGTCTTAGGAGCGCTGATAGCTGTGGCCAAACACCTGGGCAATCTGCAGTTCTGAGACTGGGAGAAGATCCAAGGGATTGTCTAATACACTCCTGTGATTCTGGACCCCAACACTGCTGAATGCAGGCTATATCTGTCTGAGGAAAGCCCGGTGATGCTATCTACCCTGATATACAGATCTGACAATCAGAGGTATCTCTGACAGTGATGTAGTCCCGATGAGGGGTGTGTGTGTGTGTGTGACAGAGATTAGTGCTTTGGTGTCTAATGAACATGAATCACTTTGATATGATTATTGATGATTGTAACATGTTTTTCTGTTTGAGTAATACACACTCAGATCTCAGAGAGATTGAACTGTTTATTTATACGTAGTGAATCACAGAGTAATGCTTTTAGGGTTGGGTTGTGCTCTCATGCTGGGGCTGGTGCACTGCTGGGTTTCTGTCATCTACATGTAACTGTTTATTACACAGGAGGCTGCTGAGGGGTGAAAGGTTCATAATTATGTCCGGAACTGAGAAAATGGAATGGCATCAAACACCTGGAAACCATGTGCTGGATGTATTTGATACCATTCCACTGATTCCGCTCCAGTCATTACCACGAGCCCGTTCTCCCCAATTAAGGTGCCACCAAACCTCCTGTGGTTTGTTATGAAGATTCATGAAAGGAATGGATAAGCTTTGTATTATAGTCTCAAGTCACCAGATTTCTACATCATACTCATTTGACTGAATGGGACTTAGAGAGGACAAAGGCCAAGGGCATAATGTCTGTGATCAGTTCAAGTTGAACTATAGGAGAGTAATATGACAGAGTATGTGTGTTCACAGTGAGATGATGTCATAGGGAGCAGCTTTCTCCAGAGGTCTCTTTTGTGCTGTATGATTTTATCTTATTTATGATTTAATTTTTTGGCTGTTATTTTCAAAACTTTTTTATTGAAGAAAGGACAAATACATTTTTCAAATTAAATATTGACTTTTAAATATTGCATGAATATATGGGTAGCCTTATGCCTTATCTGTATATGCTTTACTAATCACTATCAAATATGACATGTTCTGATTTGAAAAATATCAGATATTATTTAACATGAATCATCATCTACTGTAACATCAAACTATGGGTGCGTTCGTAAATTCACTCTGGCTATCTACTCCGATTTCAGAGTACTCTCATCTGAGAGTGCCAGAGTGCAGAAAAACAGACACATTTACAAACGTTCAACACCCATTCAATATGGCCGGTGTCAGTAAACGTCGGCAAAAAAGCGTAATTAAATTGTTGCCATCAGCAGTTACAGTCACCAACGCTCTGGATAACATAAAAACTGCCTAACCAGCTCTGCTAGGGTGAGTAAAATGGTCAGAGTGAGGTGTTCTCTCATTTGTGTCTGGAAGTAGCTAGCAAGCTAGCCAACGTTAGCCAGTTAGCTTGGGTGCTTGACTGCCGTTGTGAGGCCAGAACGCTCGGATCAACCCTACTCCTCGGCCAGAGCGTCCAGTGTGCGCTCTGAACGCTCGAGAGCGAAACGCTCTGAATTTACGAACTGATAATCTGACAACGCTCTGAATTTACGAAGGGCACTCTGAGCGCACTCTGGCACTCCAGATTTAATTTACGAACGCACCCTTTGTATGAATCTAAAGTATCAACTGTTAGCCCAGTAACACTTGTGACATATATATATTTTTAAATATGAAATGTCACTATTATATTATTGTAATATTATTTGCTAATCTCTGTATCGGATTAACCGTTGAAAAACTTTAACTGATTTCTCTCTCATCAATAAAAAGCCCAGGAGGATGTCTTTGATCATTAAGATGGAGGATAAATAGGATAAACTTATTTTTATTTAAATTGTCATTTTATTGATAACACCTTAACACATTTCCTTAAATTAGAGAAACACATGTAGCATGTTGGAGAATAGAGCAATAATCAGAAGAATCAGAGAAATATAGGATAAATATATTCTACAGATGAAACCCAAACTGACAAAAAATAAACAAAGCCAGGGAAAATATAAAGACCCAAAGGTTTGTAAACAGAGGGACTAAGAAAATAGTGAAAGAAATACTAGCGAGAGATACTAGCTCAGTGTTGTCAGTGCAGGTGGTCTAGTCATTGGATGGATGCACTTTGTATTCCTATGTTTCAAATGTTTCCAAAATTAACTAAAGAAATATAGTCCAGTGTGTTCTTCCCTCTAAAGTCTATTGGAACCGATTACTTAAAAGTTTGCTTATTGGGAAGTTACTTCAGCATCCCCAGCCTTTACAATTTTAGACAAATCTGCCCCCTTATCGGCTAGTTGTGCTTTATTACATGTGAGAGTGCTCTCTAGTGGGGTTATAGTGGAACTGCAGGTGTTCTTTATGTATCCTTTTTGAGTAAGTATTGAGTGCTGTTCCTCTCAAAGGGGTGAATCCTAACTTCCACTTACAGTGGTTCCTCATTTAAAAGTTGCTTAATACAGCAGTATAGCGTGCGGTATGCTGTGGTAGGATTCAGTGTGTCGCAGTGTTTGCCTTTAACGCTCATTTTAACCACCAGAGGGCATCTTTTAGCACATCTAGGCCTACTCCATCTACTACATTATTTGACCGTTGCAATTTGAGATTATGCATTCACTGTAAGTCAAATTTCTACTTAGTCTACCATTGACATCAATGCATTACTATGTTAAAAATGTACTTAAGCGGAAGCTAGGATTTCCACCCAAGTCCACATGCAAGTTAAGTAGAGCAGGGGTCACTGGAGATGCTTATGGTTTAGAGGTGATCCTCTGCATTGACAACATTGAGCTCTATATAAAGGCATGCAGTAGAATCATCATCATCCTTGTCATAATCATCAATATCAAAGTCAGCCTTATCATGATCATCTATCTTCGTTATGTCATCTCGAGACAAAAATAGTTTTATGCACTTAAAAAGCTCAGAAAATAGATTGAGAAAGGTTTAGTATACCAGCATTCAGTAGGACAAATCAGGGTTAACACCAGAACTAATGTCCTGTCGACTATCATGCAAAGAAATGACAGCTAAGATGCTAGTTAATAGCTAAGAAGAACATAATACAACATCTTTGTACATGCTTCTTTTTCTTCTTTTTTTGGAGAGGGGGAAGAGGTCGGATCACATGTTTGGTTAGCTTGATCACTCTGGAGCACTTCTAGGGACATAGAAGGGAACCTCCCTTTAAATCACAATGCAACAGAGAGTAATTGAACATTTACCGTATATCGAGGGATAAACAAAAGAAAACATTGAAGAAAAAGCACATAACTGTCCAATAAAATAAATAAATAAATAATCAAATAAATATGAACCTGAGGACTAACCAACCGGCTGACCGCCTGACTGTCCAATGAGACGGTCAAAATTGTCTGGCCAATAGTGATGAGACACTTCCGAAGGCAGCCAATCATAGGCAGGCATAACAACTATGGTAGGACGGCGGGGAAAAAAAACACTCACTTAGATCCACAATGTGAAACTTTAATCAAGTTCCAGGCTGACTATATGTTGCAGACACCTGACAGATCTCACAACGTCTGGATAGGTATTTAACATATCAGCTAACCCAATCCTATAATATATTATAGCAATTGGATACCCGACTGCACAGTCCATGATGTGACACGCAACCATTTGTTGATGAAATGCAACTGTAATATAGTGGGCCTGCAACATTACCAAACAATCCAGAGCTGACTTTTCTTCAGATAAGTTACATGGGTGTGTGAAGCCATCTCTTCCTAAAACATGTAAATCCATCTGTCCATCTCGCCCTGGCACAAACACAATGAATAGTAACACTAGTCAATAACACGCAATAGTAACACAATCAATGAAGATGATATTACAAATGTGAAAATATAATATACATAAAAAGATAATTAAATCATAAGAAAAGTAAGTCCTGGACTGAAGGCAGAGGACTGATAGGACCTCTGAAATAAAGCCTTCTTCTCCTAACCTCTCTCTCTCTCTCTCTCTCTCTCTCTCTCTCTCTCTCTCTCTCTCTCTCTCTCTCTCTCCACACTCCTCTAAAATCTCCATCATGTGGAAAACCAACACAGCAGCTCTCCCCTTATACACACAGTCTTCTGGATACCTTGTGAGACCTCAGTCACATCTCTCCACTCTAAAATGAGCAGCACCAACTAGAGACCACAGGACAGAGGGACAAGGTTTATGCAAAGTAAACACACATATGCATGCACATGACCTCGCCACTAAAACACCTGCCACCTGCAGACAACACAGGCCCACATCTCGCCAGTCCAGACAGACATACTGTAGTTGTCCAACAGCCTGCCTGTTAGCTCTCCATTAACCCCCACTAAACATATTGAACAGGCATAGAGCCCTAGGCACGGCTCTATGCCATGCAGGACCTCAGTAGTGATGCAGTTTCCAGGTTTTATATGGGATCAGAGTGCAACTGGCTCAGGTGAGGTGTGAGAGAATGGATGGTAGCACCTTATGACGCAGTATGGATTTATAAGTGCGTAAGGCTTCATCCCCGCTCACTAAAGGTTCTAAAAAGCACCCCTGTACAGAAAGATGAGATGTGAGAGGTGCTATAGGTACTGTACTGTTTTAAAGAGACTGCAAAACAGCTTTAAGATGTTGAAAGATAAGTAGTGAAGCTGATATGTATGGACACTATAGCATAATATTGCTGTGATATTGTTTATTCACTTGTTCTATAGCGGCTGTACATGTAGAGGCCTCATTTGCAGTGTGTGCAGTGCAGTACAGTGTGCAGTGCAGTGCAGTATATTGTCAAGTTGGGTGATGATACTGCAATATCTAATCGAACCACCGGGAGCACAAAGCCTTCCCACACACCAACGGCCAACACCAGAGAGTAAGAGAGAACCGGTAGGTCTATCCTCTGAGATATGTTAATAATAATAAAGACAAAAAAGGCAAAAACATGATTAATGTGAAATACAATAAAAACCTCTGTTATTGTTGAATCTCGTTTCGTACAGTTAAAATGATTGTGACCGGACATCGGAAGACACCAAATCAGGCCAACCCCATTTCCAGCTATTCACATTACAACGCTGAAAATTCTAACCAGTTGATCCAACCGGCCACCTATGGACTAATACACTCCCATCTACCAGGTTCCACACACACATATACACACACACGCACACGCATGCACAGAAGCACACACGCACACACTTCTAACATTCACACTCGCTTCCTCCACACCACATCAAACACACACCTCCCCCAAAAAGTTATTTTCTTAAACATGAGCTTTGGCCTAGTATAATATAATAGATTAAATACAAGAAGCTTATACAAAAACTGCCAATACCATTTTGTCACTTAAAAGCCACAATAAAAAACAGCCACTGTGAATACTGAAAAACAACATGCTTCCTTAAAAAGATAGAGAAAAAAACAAACTCTAGAAACCACTGGCATCAATCATTTGAATTATACAAATTACATATACAATTTCAATTGTGTAATAATCATAATCATAATAGTAATAGATTTTACTTAAAACTTTACATACTGTATTTCCTGTGCAGTGTTACGCAACACAAGTGAAGATTCACAAGAGGAAGAAGAGGGGACATCATGTGACATAAGAGGAAGAATCAAATGCACACTGAGGCCAAGAAAACACCACAACACCCCCCAACACACCCCTCGAAACACTCCCTACCCACAGCCCAATATTGGCCATAGGTGTGGCGGTGGTTGGGTTGGAGGAGTTGGGGTTGGGGAAAAGGGGCAAAACGTGAGTTGTCTATGGTTTGAGGTTGAGGGGGGGGAGAAGGGGGTTGTTGTTGTGGTTGTTGCTGTTGTTGTCAAAACAATAGATTGTTGTCAGATGGTTGGTTGGTTGTTGAGATGGTTGTCAGTGGGTGCAGTGGCGGGTGGCGACAGACGGGGCGGTAGTCGTAAAGAAGAGATGCATGCTGGGTATCTAGTTTGGGAGGGGTCTGGCACTGCGGACTCAGAGCCACCCGACACTGGACTTGCTCTCCCTCTATCTCTCTCTCTCTCCAGCAGAGCACTCTTGTTAGAGGTGACTATGGCATTCTACTCCTGAAACACAGGAGACACAATTTAACAGACATTTTCATTTCACATCTTACATTTCTGAAAACAAGTTTTCAAAACAGTGTGTCTGTGTGTGTGCGCATGTCAGTGTGTGTGTGTATGCGTACATAACTGTAAATGTGTTTACACACACACATGATACAAACATGTTCTACACATACCTCACTGGAGTGGTGCGGCGGGCGCACCCGAGCAGTGGAAGTGGACGTTCTGCCACTTGGAGTCCCGGCGGTGCCATACCCTAGTCTCCTCTGATTGGCTGGAGCGCGGATGGCCCTGGCCGTCAACGAATTGGGTGAGGCGGATGTAGGCGATGCAGGCAGCGTCCTCTCCAATGAGGTGGACATGGGGGTTCAGGATTGTGGTGTGGATAGGCTTACTGTTCTTAGACAGGACTGGAGGGAGGGAGGGGGGAGGTGGGGGGGGGGGGGGGGGGAGTGGTAAGGAAAAAGTCACAGAAAGAGAGAAAGTAAAAAAAAACTAAGTCAAAATGGTCATTTGAGAGAATAGGTTCGGTCATTCCATATCTTTATATATATATTTTTGTACTTTTTATCCCTTTTTCTTCCCAATTTCGTGATATCCAATTGGTAGTTACAGTCTTGTCCCATTGCTGCAACTCCCGTACGGACCTAGGTAGAGGCGAAGGTCGAGAGCCATGTGTCCTCCGAAACACGACCCTGCCAAGCCGCACTGCTTCTTGACACACTTCTCGTTTAACCCGGAAGCCAGCCGCACCTATGTGTCGGAGGAAACACTGTACAGCTGGCGACCGAGGTCAGCATGCATGCGCCCGGCCCGCCACAAGGAGTCGCTAGAGCGCGATGGGACAAGGACATCCCGGCCGGCCAAACCCTCCCCTAACCCGGACGACGCAGGGCCAATTGTGTGAAGCCTCATGGGTCTCCCGGTCGCGGCCGGCTGCGACACAGCCTGGGATCGAACTCCGGTCTGTAGTAACGCCTCTAGCACTGCGATGCAGTGCCTTAGACCGCTGCACCACTCGGGACGCCGGTCATTCCATATCTAAAGATCAAAAGATCCTTCAAGAAAATGAGTCCCAAACTACAGTATAATGTCGCTTTCTGGGGCTCCCCCAATCCTTGATGCTGGATTAGATGCATGTGTTTCCCCCAATAGAATATAAAGCATCTCTGCAGATCTTACGGTTTTCAAAGTAGAATCTGTGGAAGTCCATTCCCTCCACCAGGTTGCCCAGGGCCTCAGGTTCAAAGGAGGTCAGACCAGGATCACAGATCTTACTGGGGAGAGGAAACACACATCAATGTCTCACACGCGCACGCACACACACATTATGATACATGCTCACACTAAAAATGACTAAAACAATCATACAATCCTTCTTCTTCTTGTGTGTAGCTACCCACACTCAGACTCTCTCACACACACTGATGAACTCACGCGTATGCCTCGAAGTCTCCATTGTTCACAGCCTCGATCAGCTGTTCAGTGATCTTGATTATCTCTTGTTTGCGTGCTGTAGGAGGAACACAGCATAGAGTCAGACACACACACACACACCAGTGGAGAGTTCGCGTGCAGTTAATGTGTACAATATGCACCTCAGACACACACACACAAACACCAACCAACAATCTTGATCACGCTTATAATAAGCAACAAATCCTGTATTACAGTTTTTTTCAATCACTTTGGTGCGATTTTCACAAGTATGTAGTCAACTTTCACAATGCTTAGTACAAAACTCAAAACAGATCATCAAAAAGGCAGTTGTTTTAAAACTCTAAGCACATGTTCAATTTACTAAGTACAACACACAAAATCATATAGTCTCCTTTTCTGTCACGACTTCCTCTGAGGCTGCCTCCTCTCCTTGTTCGGGCAGGCTTTGGCGTTCGTCGTCACCGGCCTTCTAGCCACTGCCGCTCCTCATCTCATCATTCCATTAGTTTTGTCTTGTTTATTACACACACCTGGTTCATATCCCCTCATCAGTACCTGTATAAGTGTTCCCTCTGCCCCCTTGTCTTTGTGTGTGATTGTTTATTGTGAAGGAGAGAGAAGCTCGGTGGAGCTCCGTCCGTGTATTTTGTATCACCGGGAATATTCACTGTGTGCCTTGTATTTTCCAGTGCGCCTGTTTTGCGCACTGGAGTGTTTTTACGCATTACTGCTTAACTCTGTAATTCAGAATAAATCCTGTTAATCTGTGATTTACACTCCTGCGCCTGACTCCTTCAGAATCACCTCATCACAGAATCACACACCCGAACATGGTGTCAGCAGGAGAGGAGCACCAGCCTGGAGTCGTGGCACGGGTCCGGGAGCATTCTACTATGCTAACCAGCTTGGGAGAAGCGATGGACCAGCTGAGTGACCGGATCCAGCCACCCAGAGTGATTCACATATTTCGACCACGGAATTTTGACAGGACTTTATGCTGGGAACTTTATGGACAGGTCATTTGCACATAGTCTAGGCATTACATTGGTTCCCCTATCCATTCCACTCCCCATCAGAGCACTTGACAGTCGACCATTAGGGTCCGGGTTCGTTAGGCAATTTACAGCATCAGTCACTATGGTTACGCACGAGACTCATCGAGAGCAAGTCACTTTTTTTATTATTGAGTCTCCTGATTTCCCTGTTGTGTTAGGTCTTCCCTGGTTAGCACTACACAACCCCACCTTTTCATGGCCGCAGAGGGTTCTCACGGGGTGGTCGCGAGATTGTCAGGGTAGGTGTCTAGGTGTTTCCATTGGTGCAACCACGATGGAAAGTCCAGACACTAGCTCCACCGTGCGTTCCCCCCCGAATACCTCGATTTGGCGCATGCGTTTTCCAAAACGCAGGCGACAAAATTACCACCTCATCGGGCGGGGGATTGCGCAATAAACCTCCTGCAAGATGCTGTGCCTCCCAGGAGTCATGTGTATCCCCTGTCGCAGGCTGAAATGGAGGCTATGGAGACATACGTCTCCGAGTCCCTGTGCCAGGGGTTCATACGTCCCTCCACTTCGCCTGCCTCCTCAAGTACTATCGGAGGTTAATTTGGGGCTTTGACAAGGTCGCAGCTCCCATCACATCTCTGTTGAAGGGTGGGCCGTCCCAGCTCCGCTGGTCTGCAGAGGCTGACAGGGCCTTCAGTAACCTGAGGGTTCTGTTCACCTCAGCCCCAGTACTGGCCCATCCCAATCCATCACTACCGTTCGTAGTGGAGGTGAATGCGTCTGAGGTAGGGATAGGCGCTGTCCTATCTCAACGCTCGGGCACGCCACCCAAGCTCCGCCCCTGTGCTTTCTTCTCCAAGAAGCTCATCCCGACGGAGCAGAACTACGACGTTGGTGATCGGGAGCTGTTGGCTGTTGTCCGAGCCCTGACCATGTGGAGGCACTGGCTCGAGGGAGGCGAAACACCCTTTCCTCGTCTGGACGGACCACCGTAACCTGGAGTACATCCGGGCAGCGAGGAGGCTGAACCCTCGCCAGGCCAGGTGGGCCCTATTCTTCACCCGGTTTGATTTTACACTATCTTACATCCCGGGTATGAAGAACGTGAAGGCAGATGTACTGTCCCGGCTGTATGACACAGAGGAGAGGCCCAGAGACAACACCCCCATACTCCCAGCCTCCTGCATTGTGGCGCCAGTAGTATGGGCGATGGACGCGGACATAGAGTGGGCGTCACTCACAGAGCCATCTCCACCTCAATGTCCAGCTGGGCTGCAGTATGTGCCTTCTCTTGTCCGTGACCGTCTGATCTATTGGGCACACACGTCCCCCTCCTCTGGTCACCCAGGTATCGGTGGTACAGTGCGCTGCCTGACCAGAAAGTACTGGTGGCCTACCTTGGCTAAGGACGTGAGGGTGTATGTCTCCTACTGCTCGGTGTGCGCCCAGAGTAAGGCAGCTAGGCACCTCCCAGCGGGTAAGTTACAGACCTTACCAGTTCCACAACGACCATGGTCCTACTTGTGTATTGACTTCCTTACTGATCTTCCCCTCTCTCAAGGTAACACCACCATCCTGGTCGTTGTGGACCGCTTTTCCAAAGCCTGCCGCCTCCTTCCTCTGCCCGGTCTCCCCATGGCCCTGCAGACTGCGGAGGCCCTGTTTACACACGTCTTCCGGCACTACGGGGTGCCAGAGGACGTAGTGTCTGACCGGGGTCCCCAGTTCACATCCAGGGTCTGGAAGGCGATCATGGAACGTCTGGGGGTCTCTGGTTTTCACCCCGAGTCTAATGGGCAGGTGGAACGGGTGAATCAGGATGTGGGTAGGTTCCTGCGGTCCTACTGCCAAGAACGGCAGGGGGAGTGGTCGGTGTTCTTGCCATGGGCTGAATATGCCCATAACTCTCTCTGCCACTCCTCCACTAACCTAATTCCATTTCAATGTGTTTTGGGTTATCAGCCGGTTCTGGCACCGTGGCATCAGAGCCAGACCGAGGCTCCTACGGTGGATGACTGGTTTCGGTGGCTCACATCCACCTCCAACGCGCCGTGCGTCGCCAGAAGGCCAACGCTGACCGCCACTGCAGTGAGGCCCCGGTCTTTGTACCGGTGATCGGGTCTGGCTCTCGACCCGGAATCTGCCCCTCCGCCTGCCCTGCCGGAAGCTGAGCCCGCGGTTTGTGGGGCCATTCAAAGTCCTGAGGAGAATAAACAAGGTTACTTATAGGTTACTACTCCCTCCAGATTACTGCATTAACCCCTCGTTCCATGTGTCTCTCCTCAGGCCGGTGGTGGTTGGTCCGCTCCAGGAGTCTGAGGTGCGGGAGGTCCCTCCGCCCCCTCTGGACATCGAAGGGGCCCCGGTGTACTCCGTCCGTTCCATCCTGGATTTGAGGCGTCGGGTGGGGGGCCTTCAGTACCTCGTGGAGTGGAAGGGGTACGGTCCGGAGGAGCTGTGCTGGGTCCCGGTGAGGGATATCCTCAATCCCTCCCTGTTGCGGGATTTCCACCGTCGCCATCCGGCTCGCCCTGCTCCGCGTCCTCCTGGTTGTCCCCGATGCTGGAGCTGCACGTCAAGGGGGGGGGGGGGTATTGTCACAACTTCCTCCGAGGCTGCCTCCTCTCCTTGTTCGGGTAGGCTTCGGCGTTCGTCGTCACTGGCCTGTGTACAGTACTTTAACATACTACATTAAAAGGGCAATTTTGATATCAAATGTTTTGCTATTGGATTAACTGGTTGTTAAACCAACTAAATTGAGAAGACATCATTATGTTGTGTTTTGGTGATTAAATCAATGTTCTCATGGTTTTCACAGTAAACGTATATTTTGGATCAATGGTTGTATGGTGAAAGATGTCTCCAAACAAAATGAATGAACAATGAAAGGTTTTGAATATGAGACTGCGTTACAAATGTTACCAGACCTGAGTTTTGTACTAAGAGTTTAGAAAATTCACCACATACTTGTGAAAATAGTACCAAAGCAATTGAAGTAAACTGCAACCAACACCAAAACGACACACAAACACAACCAGTTGATAACTCATTATAATATCACTCTGCAGTGAATGTTAGTTGCTACATGTCACACCACACAACTCACCATTTTCACTTCCAACAAGCAAAAAAACAGCACACAGTTAGTTGTGTTTCCTTGTTTCCCCTAGGTAGGGCCCAAAGACCCTAAAGCAAATAAAGGCCTCTACAGCAAAAATCGAAACACGCTGCAAACCCACCAAAACAATCGATTAAAACCAGTAGGCCTAGAGGCCCCTTTTTACCCAACTGAACTCGGCAAGAGGCCGGCCTCGCCTGATATATAATGCTAGGGAAACCCTCGTTAGGGCTTTGGAGTGCTTACCAAACACGAGTCAAGTCACAGTGCTGAGTGAGTGGTGTCACAACATGCACTATACTACACAGCCTTCTGATTGGCAACACTCTGGGGTCAGGGGTCATGCCCAGTACTCACTCTGAGAGGTGAGGGAGAGGCTGGAGGGGGACATGGGGGGAGGAGGGGAGGTGGGGTGTGATGGGGGGGGAGTGGGCCTGGGGGCTGGTGCCACCTCTACCTCGGCGGGTGCAGGTGTGGCGGGGGGAGGGGCTGGGGCAGACGACCGGCGAACATTGCCCACTAGGTCTGAAAGACGGGACACTGGTCGCAGGGACAGAGGGATAGATACGGATGGAGAGAGAGAGAGAGAGTTAGAGAGAGAAAGAGCAAAGGAGCAGGAGAAAGAGGGAGGAGGTGTAGGGGTAGAAAAGATCACAAAATTAAATGACGGTGAAATAAAAAAATGAAAGTATAAAGTATAAACAGAAAAGTCACATGTTCCATTCGAAATTGACTTATTACAAACTGACTTAGAATGACGAATATGAAACATATCCATGAAGACCTCTCAAAACACAGATCCTTCTCTTGTGAGTGAATAGGGTTCCATTTCCGACGCAGACCAGCTTATCTAAATACTCTGGTCCTGCTATAGTGTACTTACGCTGCATAGGGGTGTGTGCCATGGGTGGGGAGGCGGCGACGGAGGGGGCGGCTGGAGGGGGTGGAGGTGTGCTGGTGCCCCCTTCCCCATCAGACATGGGCCCTGACGCCCTGCGTACTACGCCAAACAGGTCTGATAGCTTGGTGGCTGGGGAGGGGGGTGGGGGGATGGGGGTGGATATGAATGAACTGAAAGAGAAACTGAAGAGATTCACACAGAAAACAGCATGCCAAAAATAAGGATAGCGCAAGCAGAAACAGAATCCCTGCATGCGTCCATTGGGACTGTGATGCTGCAGTGTTGCGGTTCTGTATTTGTCCACACGAGGGAGACAGTGAGCTGCTACATATACAAACACATTGCGGCCAGAATAGGGATGCTCCAAATCAAAAGACAGGAGAGGGGCATGGAGGGAGGAGGGAGTGATGAGATGAGATGCATCAGAGCAGTGTGTGCATCTTTAAATCTCTCTACATGATGCCACAGACAGCTATTTTATGCTAGGTTAGGCAAAGTTATGCTATTAGGCTAGGTTTAGATTAGTCACTGAGTTGAATGTGACAGTGTGGTGTATCTAGTAATATTTTCCTAATACAGGCTTTATTCACAACAGTCTAAAGACAGGACTGTGTTTGACTTTTATATTGACGCTTAGTGAGAACGAGTAGATTAGAAGGATACGTATTGATAACATACAGGTATTTTTCTGCCATTGAAATCCTAAGCGGTTTTTTTGGGGACATCTAAGTCCAAATAGATTTTCAGGATGGACAAATGCTTTCAGTGTAAATGTAGCCCTTTCCTGCAGCCAATGACCAAAAGTGCCCCCTTTGGCCTCCTGGGTGGAATGTTACTTATATTTTTCATAATTTCATAACTAATAAATATATATATTTTTTTTACTGATGAAAATCCAGTGTTTCTATGTCAAAAAGATTTGTTATATTTCAGTCTTCTGTGATGTATATAAAGTGTAATATTGGGATGAAAACTTAAAACTGAATACATTCCAACTCTATATCTGACATGGTACAGGTGACTTCTTTTTTTTAAGCCCATAACAATGTGTGTGAGGTGTATACTTTTGTTTCAAAGTAGATTTGTTTAAGACTACCAAGAATCACTCTGTGACCCTGATTTAGCCCACTGCAGTAAAAGGTTAAATGACTTAAACCAGATATAAAATATGTAGAGAAGATAACGGACCTATATATATTTTTTTAAATCTTTGAGAACTAACAATCACCAAAATAAGCTAGACAGTAAGGGAAAATAGAATATTACAAAAACTATTTTTTGTGCAGTATTGAAATTGTTATTATGTTTGAGTGAAATAAAAAAGCATTAGCCATGGCAAAATGCATTGAATTGCAGGAAATTACAGTGGCTTGCTAAAGTATTCACCCCCCTTGGCATCCCCCCCCCCCCAAAAAAAAGGCAATACTTTGTAGAGGCACCTTTTGCAGCAATTACAGCTGCAAGTCTCTTGGGGTATATCTCTATAAGCTTGGCACATCTAGCCACTGGGATTTTTGCCCATTCTTCAAGGAAAAACTGCTCCAGCTCCTTCAAGTTGTATGGGTTCTGCTGGTGTACAGCAATCTTTAAGTCATACCACAGATTCTGAATTGGATTGAGGTCTGGGCTTTGACTAGGCCATTCCAAGACATTTAAATGTTTCCCCTTAAACCACTTCAGTGTTGCTTTAGCATTATGCTTAGGGTCATTGTCCTGCTGGAAGGTGAACCTCCGTCCCAGTCTCAAATCTCTGGAAGACTGAAACAGGTTTCCCTCAAGAATTTCCCTGTATTTAGCGCCATCCATCATTCCTTCAACTCTGACCAGTTTCCCAGTCTCTGCCAATGAAAAACATCCCCACAGCATGATGATCTCGGGGTGATGAGAGCTGTTGGGTTTGCGCCAGATATAGCGTTTTCCTTGATGGCCAAAAAGTATCTTCTTCCATATGTTTGGGGAGTCTCCCACACACCTTTTGGCGAACACCAAACGTGTTTGCTTATTTTTTTCTTTAAGCAATGGCTTTTTTATGACCACTCTTCTGTAAAGGCCAACTCTGTGGAGTGTACGGCTTAAAGTGGTCCTATGGACAGATACTCCAATCTCCGCTGTGGAGCTTTGCAGCTCCTTCAGGGTTATCTTTGGTCTCTTTGTTGCCTCTCTGATTAATGCCCTCCTTGCCTGGTCCGTGAGTTTTGATGTGCGGCCCTCTCTTGGCAGGTTTGTTGTGGTGCCATATTCTTTCCATTTTTTTATAATGGATTTAATGGTGCTCTGTGGGATGTTCAAAGTTTCTGATATTGTTTTATAACCCAACCCTTATCTGTACTTCTCCACAACTTTGTCCCTGACCTGTTTGGAGAGCTCCTTGGTCTTCATGGTGCCGCTTGCTTGGTGGTGCCCCTTGCTTAGTGGTGTTGCAGACTCTGGGGCCTTTCAGAACAGGTGTATATATACTGAGATCATGTGACAGATCATGTGACACTTAGATTGCACACAGGTGAACTTTATTTAACTAATTATGTGACTTCTGAAGGTAATTGGTTGCACCAGATCTCATTTAGCGGCTTCATAGCAAAGGGGGTGAATAAATATATGCACGCACCACTTTTCCGTTATTTATTTTTTGAATTTTTTGAAACAAATATTTTTTTTCATTTCACTTCACCTATTTGGACTATTTTGTGTATGTCCATTACATGAAATCCAAATAAAAACCTATTTAAATTACAGGTTGTAATGCAACAAAATACGAAAATGCAAGGGGGATGAATACTTTTGCAAGGTACTGTAGCTTTAAAACTGAAAAATGTTCTCTCAGCTCCATTGCAGAATATGTAGAATAGCAGGAAATTTGCTTTAAAACGGCAAAATTGAACAAAAATATAAATGCAACATGCAACAATTTCAACAATTTTACTGCCTTACAGTAATCAGTCAATTGAAATAAATAAATTAGGCCCTAATCTATGGATTTCACATTACTGGGCAGGGGTGCAGCCATGGGTGGGCCTGGGAGGGCATAGGCCCACCCACTTGGGAGACAGGCCCACCCACTGGGGAGCCAGGCCCAGCCAATCACAATACGTTTTCCCCCACAAAAGGGCTTTATTACAGACAGAAATACTCCTCAGTTTCATCGGCTGTCCGGGTGGCTGGACTCAGACGATCCGCAGGTGTAGAAGCCGGATGTGGAGGTCCTGGGCTGGCATGGTTACACGTGGTCTGCGGTTGTGAGGCTGGTTGGACATACTGCCAAATTCTCTAAAACAACGTTGGAGGCGGCTTATGGTAGAGAAATGGACATTACAATCTCTGGCAACAGTTCTGGTGGACATTCCTGCAGTCAGCATGCCAATTGCACGCTCCCTCAAAACTTGAGACATCTGTGGCATTGTGTTATGTGACAAAACTGCACATTTTCGAGTGGCCTTTTGTTGTCCCCAGCACAAGGTGCACTGTGTAATGATCATGCTGTTTAATAAGCTTCTTGATATGCCACACCTGTCAGGTGGATGGATTATCTTGACAAAGGAGAAATGTTCACTAACATAGATGTAAACAAATTTGTGCACAACATTTGAGAGAAATAAGGTTTTTATGCATATGGACAAATTCTGGGATATTTACATGTTGTGTCTATATTTTTGCCAAGAGTGTGCAAAGCTGTCATCAAAGCAAAGGGTGGCTATTTGAAGAATCTCAAAAATAAAATATATTTTCATTTGTTTAACACCTTTTGGGTTAGTACATGATTCCATATGTGTTATTTCATAGTTTTGATGTCTTCACTATTATTCTACAACGTTGAAAATAGTAAAAATAAAGAAAAACCCTTGAATGAGTAGGTGTGTCCAAACTTTTGACTGGTAGTGTATATATATATTTTATACACACTTTTATTCATTTTACTATGTCAATATGTATTTGTTGTCGTTGCTGTTTTGGCATCAAACTGGTGGCAGTTGTGAAAAAAGTCAACAGTTGGAAGAGTAGCAGAGTTAATTTAAAGGATGCCATTGTATGATCTATGTGCACATATATGCCAGAGTCTAAATGGTTTTGAATCCGGGCCCACTGCCCTTCAACAAAAAAAATCTGAAATAAAAAATAAAGATGTTGATTAGATGCTGTTTACATTAATTAACTAAATTATTTTGATTAGATGCTTTTTTTGTTTATTTTCTCTTGAAGCATATGGTCATAGACAATATGGACACAGATATATATTTTTATATATGAATACTTTTAAAAAATGTTATTCAAGTGTAAATTACCAAAGTTACCATAGATTTCCATACATTTTCTGTTAATGACCAACATTTACGAAGATTCTGGTAACTTTGGTAGATTTCCGGTAGTTTTGCAATCCTAGTCAAGCCACGCATCATTCAAGGTTTCAGTGTTCTAAAAAGATCATATGTTGGTGAGTACACACACAGGGGGTTGTGTTAGCCATAAGTCTTGTGTGTGTGAGCGTCTACACAGAAGTATGTATATGTGTCTCTCTGTATGTGTGTGTGTGTGTTTATGTGTGTGTGTCACACTGCGCTTGGGGGCATGCCGACTTACAGTACACAGCGGGCGAGTGGACTTGGGGCTGTGGGGCGGAGGTGTCAGGCTGGGACTCGGTCTTAACTGAACTGTCTATACTCTTCCCTGATCAGACACACACACACACACCCAGGACCGACAGATCAATGAGAAGAGATGGGAAAAGAAAAGAAGGAGAGGGTGAATGAATGAAAGAATGAATGAACAAAAGAAAGAAACACAACATTGACTGGGTGGATGGAAAACAAAAGGAGAAAAAACCTACTGATGATTTCCGAGCTTGGTATTTATTCAAGTTTACCTTCTGTATCAGTAGAACAGATGTATTACTAAAGGTATTTGAAGGCAGTATGTATGAGAACAGCCTCAATTCGTCGGGGCATGGACTCTACAAGGTATTGAAAGCATTCCACAGGGATGCTGGCCCATGTTGACTCCAATGCTTCCCACAGGTGTGTCAAGTTGGCTGGATATCCTGTGGGTGGTGGACCATTCTTGATACACACGGGAAACTGTTGAGCGTGAAAAATGCAGCAGCGTTGCAATTCTTGACACAAACCGGTGCGCCTGGCACCTACTACCATACCCCGTTCAAAGGCACTTAAATCTTTTGTCTTGCCCATATATCCATATCTCAAGGCTTGAAAATCCTTCTTTAACCTGTCTCCTCCCATTAATCTACACTGATTGAAGTGGATTTAACGAATGACATCAATAAGGGATAGTAGCTTTCACCTGGATTCACCTGGTCAGTCTATGTCATGGAAACTATGTAGGCAATAGGGTATAGTTTTGTAAGCAGACCATGATAATGATGATTGGGAATAGTAGTAATACAGATGAATACCGGGATCTGTATGCTAGGCAGATCTGTCTACAGCACAGGGTTTCCAACGAAGCACAATGTTATTCCTCTGACTGCTTGGGACTAGTGATCTGTCTACTGTATATTATAGTAGACAGGGGGAAGAGCAACAAGTGATCTCCTATTTAGAGAGTAAAGAACACAAACATACCAGGAACATCCCAGGAACATACGGTACCATACAGATATATAGTGTGCTGTAGTACAGGAGGGGGCATTCTGCATAGTTCAACAATCCACCAACCCAAAATAAACTATGAGTAAATCCAGTTCACTTTACATGCCAGTCGACTCTTCATTGTCTCTTCACAATCGCAAGCACGCATGAACACACACACACACACACATTATACCCACACATGCACAGACACACACCACACGCAAACACACAGACACGCAGACACACCCTTACAATCTAAGAAATCCAAACACACAAAACCAGATAACCTATTATAAAAACACGAGCACAAATCCAACCAAACTCCCATGCCGTACTCTCTCTTACCTCAACCCAGTGGATTCATTTCATGAGCACATCAGACTAGCGTAGTGAGACTTACACTACAGTAACAGTACATCTATTAGCGCTCTAGTGCTATGTATCCCAGGTGGCGCTGCTACAGTAATGTTTCTCCAACTCCTCCACATGGCTCTGTTTCCTGCCACAGGCTAAATATACACACAAGGTGCCCTTGGCCTGCTCCTGTGGAGGGCTACTAGAGCAGGAAGCTGGATACCTAGCAGTAGCACAGAGAAGGACGCTACAAAACAGCTCACTCTTTGGGGGCGTTGGAGGTTGGAGCATAAAAGGAAGGTACAATACAGGCCGATTTTTTCTTGAGTGGATGGTCTGGGGGCCGGAACATAATTACAAATAATTTGTAGACTGCAAATTGACCGCAAGAAGCACAAAAGTTTGACTAAACCATAATAATTTCAAACCTTGCTTACATTTGTATATGATCATATGTCTCTCTATTATGCGTGGGAATACTTGGGAACAGATTTCTTAAATTCAAATCACTTGGAGCTGATTTCCTGGAGTTTCTACAGTCTTTTATGTCCAACATATTGCAGGGCCGCCAGTTGGGGAACCCTGTAATAGAGTCTCTATAGAGAGGCAGCGGTAACTACTGTTATACTTCACACTGGACCACCACATTAGTGACCTGCTTTAGGGAGATCTTATTGATCTCATTTCATGGACACACACACACACACACACACACACACACACACACCTCATTGGGACTACATCACTGTCAGAGACACCTCTGATTGGCAGATCTGTACAGTGGGTTTCATAAGTATTCACCCCCCTTGGATTTCTTCACATTTTATTGTGTTACAAAGTGGGATTAAAATTGATTTAATTGAGAAGAAAAAAATGTCAATGATCTACACAAAATACTTTGTAATGTCAAAGTGAAAAAGAAAATCTAACATTTCTTACAAATTTATGGAAAATTAAACACTAATATACCTTTATTAGATAAATATTCACCCCCGGGTCAATGCATATTAGAAACACCTTTGGCAGCAATATTCTTGGGTTAGTCTAAGAGCTTTTCACACTTGGATTGTGCAATATTTTCCAATGTTTCCTTTTTAAAAATCTTCAAGATTCAAGTCTTTCATAGATTCTATTTTATAACATTTTAGTCATTTAGCAGACGCTCTTATCCAGAGTGACTTACAGGAGCAATTAGGGTTAAGTGCCTTGCTCAAGGGCACAGCGACAGACTTTTCACATAGTCGGCTCAGGGATTAGAATCAGCGACCTTTCGGGTACTGGCACAATGCTCTTAAACATTAAGCTACCTGCCGCCTTTATCTATTTTTAATTTATTAGGATCCCCATTAGCCGACGCCAATGGCGACAGCTAGTCATACTGGGGTCCGACACATAAAGAAAAATACATTATAGACAAAAGACTACAATTTAAATACATCAACATGTAGTGTGTGTGTGTGTGCATCTATCAGTTACACACACTGTACATGTCAGTACATACACACAACAAGTAGGTCACATGAGGCATTGTGCTGTGAGGTGTTGTTTTATTAGTTTTTTGAAACCAGGTTTGCTGTTCACTTGTGCTATATAAGATGGAAGGGAGTTCCATGCACTCATGTACATTTCCTTGAATTTGTTCTGAACCTGGGGACTGTGAAAAGACCACTGGTGGCATGTCTGGTGGGGTAGTGTGTGTCAGTGCTGTGTGTAAGTTGACTATGCAAACAATTTGGAATTTCCAAGAAGTGACGCAGTCAGTCTTTCCTCAACTCTTAGCCAAGAGAGACTGGCATGCATAGTATTAATATTAGCCCTCTGATTTCAATGAAGAGCAAGACAGGAGGCTCTGTTCTCTGTTTTCAAGTAGATTGAAGTCATAACTGTAACTTGGCCACTCAGGAACATTCACTGTCTTCTTGTTAAGCAACTCCAGTGTAGATTTGGCGACAGGGTCTAGCAGTGCTTTCACTCACACCGAAATGCTGCATTCGCAGCTTTTGACCTGCTTTGAGCAGCTCCTCTTTGTACAGTAGCTCAGAAGGACACGCATACACACAAACTCAGTCACGACTCTGACAACATCAACACGGGTATTCTTATTTCAATCCACATGATATTGTGTCTCTCTCTATACTCAGCTCCTGTGTACTCTGCTGGGTACAGTACTGTCGTGGTCAAAAGTTTTGAGAATGACACAAATATTAATTTTCACAAAGTCTGCTGCCTCAGTTTTTATGATGACAATTTGCATATACTCCAGAATATTATGAAGAGTGATCAGATTAATTGCATTTATAAGTCCCTCTTTGCCATGAAAATGAACTTAATCCCCAAAAACATTTCCACAGCATTTCAGCCCTGCCACAAAAGGACCAGCTGACATCATGTCAGTGATTCTCTCGTTAACACAGGTGAGAGTGTTGACGAGGACAAGGCTGGAGATTACTTTGTCATGCTGATTGAGTTAGAATAACAGACTGGAAGCTTTAAAAGGAGGGTGGTGCTTGAAATCATTGTTCTTCCTCTGTTAACCATGGTTACCTGCAAGGATACACGTGCCGTCATCATTGTTTGCACAAAAAGGGCTTCACAGGCAAGGATATTGCTGCTAGTAAGATTGCACCTAAATCAACCATTTATCGGATCATCAAGAACTTCAAGGAGAGAGGTTGAATTGTTGTGAAGAAGGCTTCAGGGCGCCCAAGAAAGTCCAGCAAGCACCAGGACCGTCTCCTAAAGTTGATTCAGCTGTGGGATCGGGGCACCACCAGTGCAGAGCTTGCTCAGGAATGGCAGCAGGCAGGTGTGAGTGCATCTGCACGCACAGTGAGGCGAAGACTTTTGGAGGATGGCCTGGTGTCAAGAAGGGCAGCGAGGAAGCCACTTCTCTCCAGGAAAAACATCAGGGACAGACTGATATTCTGCAAAAGGTACAGGGATTGGACTGCTGAGGACTGGTGTAAAGTGATTTTCTTTGATGAATCCCCTTTCCGATTGTTTGGGGCATCCGGAAAAAAGCTTGTCCGGAGAAGTCAAGGTGAGCACTACCATCAGTCCTGTGTCATGCCAACAGTAAAGCATCCTGAGACCATTCATATATGGGGTTGCTTCTCAGCCAAGGGAGTGGGCTCACTCACAATTTTGCCTAAAAACACAGCCATGAATAAAGAATGGCACCAACACATCCTCCGAGAGCAACTTCTCCTAACCATCCAAGAACAGTTTGGTGACGAACAATGCATTTTCCAGCATGATGGAGCACCTTGCCATAAGGCAAAAGTGATAGCTAAGTGGCTCGGGGAACAAAACATCGAAATTTTGGCCAGGAAACTCCCCAGACCTTAATCCCATTGAGAACTTGTGGTCA